CGGATTTGTGTTTACACTTTTTGGAGGTTCCCACACACAGTGTATTCAGCAGGGAGGAGCAGTTGTCTCTGGCACACGACCGTCGCATCATTCGCCCGAAGTTAGTCGACATGAAACTGTGGCAAAGAGAAACACACGCACTCTGGTCAGAGTTCAAAAACAGACTTTATACGTAAACACAACTCTGTGAATACACACACACACACACACTGCAGTGTGCAGGTACATTGTTATACATAAAAGTTGCATTTTTGTGTGTGTAAAGAAAATGGAAGGTAAGTTTCTCATGTACACTCCACCGCACAGTGTGGCTTACGTACACAACAGTAAAATATGTCAGCCAGAACTGGGAAATTTTATGTCGGTCAAGGAGGACATCGTCAAGAATTCTGTTGTGGTTCAGTAGTTACGGCAGCTTTAAAGGTTACCACCCAGCAGGACTGGGGATACCGGCTCACAGGATGACCCATCCCACATCCAGGGGAAATGAAAATGTTGAGGGTATCGTCATAAAGAAAAAAGAAAATACAAACAAGAAAGAAAAAAAACGAGAGTATATTGGAAAAAAAAACGGATATTAGGAGACATGAGAATCATCATCTATGTTATCTGCCTAGAAAATATAAATTACTTTCTAGATATCCCTTCCTTGTGTTTTACTCTAGACGGATTGAGGTCTGGAGAGGAAAGCAGGGGACACCCTGTGTCCCTGTTAGCCTTGTCAGTACTTTTTGGGAAATTGTCAACAAATATTTGATGTGAAAGAGAAGAGACATTGGAAAGTCAGTCAGGTGTTATTAATCTGGGAAGTGTAGTGGCGGTGGTTACACACACATACACACACATCTCTCTCTCTCTCTCTCTCTCTCTCTCGCTCCACTCCTTTTGCGAAAGAATGCGTTGCAGGAAGGGTATACAGGGAAGAAACGCTAGACTAGTCCTAAGGAATGTGTTAGGTCACTCAAGTATTGCACACCAGTTTGCTGCTTTCTGAGAAGATGAGAATGTCATCTCCAGAGACTTCTCGCAGGTAAATATATATATATATATATATATAAATATATATATATATATATATATATATATATATATATATATATATATATATATATATATATATTTATATATATATATAATAAACCGCAAGCTATTCCTTTAAGCAACATTTCGCGCTGGGTTGAGGTTCGCCAAGATGCAATGAAGCTCAGTCCTGCGCGAAATGTCGTCAAAAAATATATATTGTCGGTCTCCGTTACCTGTGTTTATTACGTTTATGTCGAATTCTTGTCCCCTCCCTCAGATAATACAGTTTCGTAAAAAAACAAAAGTGAGTCACCATCAGCGTATTTGTGTTGCGTCTTAACAAGTCGCAACACAAGTGTTAGGGCATTTTAAGAGCACTTTTTCGCCCACCGGAGCACTTTTCTCCTAAAATAAAATGGAATAACTTCCCTGGTGTGTGTCATTTCCACACACAACATCTGTAAATTATATTACTACATTAACATCTATGTGTTTTATTATCACGTTCGTGCATGAGAGAAATGACGCATAAAATGGCGAGATTAAATTGATAATATATTTTTCGATATTTATATGGAATTCTTTGCAAGTAGCATATCACGATTTTTTTAGTGATTTATGGGAACGCTCGTGTACACTGTGATTAGGCGAACTTATTTGGGAAATGTTGACTCACGTTAACAATTTTATTTATAGCGTTTGTGAATGTATCGGACTCCCCGATACTTCCGGTATATATATATATATATATATATATATTATATATATATATATATATATTATATATATATAATATATATATATATATATATATATATATATATATATACATTCACCAAGCAATGATATATTTATTTTGTTCAACTAGTTAAGAATTCACGAAAATTAGATTATCGGATCTCCAAATTTTCAAAATGCCTTTATTTATCGGCGAGAAATTGTTGCCTGACAACGGCCTCTGCTCTGATCTTTATGATAAATATATAACTTGCCTATGAAAGCAACTTAATTCCTTATTAACGTTAAATACTCTCGGGATGCGGGAACAAAAGAGTCTCCGGGTGGAAATAAAAGCGAGGTAATGTGTTAATTGAGGCTGTTTATAGCGGCTTGTTTACTGTGTACCGCAGCTCATCCTCTGGGCGGTAGAGAACGGTAATTATAGAAGACACAAAGGGATCTTATTCTTTATCCAGTGGATAGACAGTCACAAAGATATTTTATTCTTCTAACCAGTGGATAAAGTGAATAGTGTTGCGATGTTAAAGTTATTTAGAATTTGATAGAATGCAAAATGTGTATAACCTCTATATTTGAAGATATTTAATTCATGGCGTGTGGGAAAGACTGGTAACTTCTTAATTCATTTATTGATTACATTCAACGTCTCGGTGACAGATTCAGCCATCATCATGATCATTATCGTCATCATCACTGTCATCATCATCAACATGATCAGATTCATTTCTGGTATATGATGCAACAATATCCCACTGCCACTGTCTATTGTTATGTTCCAGAGGTGAATCAAGATGATAATAATTATTTTTGTTACACTAAAGCGTTCACTGTGTATCAGTAAATGTCCTGCGAAGTTGCAAGTTGCAACTGCCATGATTTATATCTCAAGATTTAATACTTTATTTTTCATTAGCAGTAAAACAGTTTTATGTTCAACGAGGCCTATAAGAAAAGAAGACTATTTATCTTTACTGTTTGGAACCCATAACAGATTTTATCATTGGTAATTGCAAAAGCCTCTCGAAGGCGAGACGTCGCAACAATAGAAACAGTTGAAGATTGAGACACTTATGCAGCATATGGGAATCTTTATTCAGGAAACGTTTCGCCACACAGTGGCTTCATCAGTCCAATACAAAGAGGAAGGCGTAAGGAGAGGAGGAGTATGAGGTAATCAGTCCCTCAACCTTCCTCTTTGTATTGGACTGATGAAGCCACTGTGTGGCGAAACGTTTCCTGAATAAAGATTCCCATATGCTGCATAAGTGTCTCAATCTTCAACTTGTCGGTTTTTCAAACCATTCATCACAATAGAAACAGTGTTTTATACCACCACTCGTCTGCCTATAGAATTTGGATGTCACTAAAGAGGGAGATTTACTTCAGCACTCAAAGATACAGTGTTCCATCAGTGTTTATAACTAGACTTTATGTATCCCTGAGACTGGGGTCTATATGTATGCTGACCTGTGACGGATATTCGTGTATCTGAGTTGCTGAAGATTTGACAGAAACTTGTGTTTATTTTTCCCCTCAAATTGCTCAGATCTGTTCCTCGGAGCCAGGTTTTTGGTACCTGGGTTGCAGTGCGAGGTGCTTGTACCAAAACAGCTTGAGTGATCAAGATATCAGCCAGGAGGACTGGTCTGGGATCGGGTCGCATGGGCGATGATCCATGAAATCCACTGATTTTGGGGATCATCGCCATTTTTACCACCAGTCAAGAATATTTTAATCCCTAAAACAGGGATTAAATTAAACTCTCAGCGTATATATGCTTAGAGAAATACACCAGTTGGTATATACGTCTCGTGAATTCCGTTACAGGTACGTCAGTCGCGTGTATGATTTTAAAATTTTTATGTATTTTAGTTAAGCTATAAAAATAGTTATTATATTATTTCACCTTAATCTAATGCTTTAAATTATTACATTTTTGCAACATATACTTGAAAAAATGTTGAATACATGGATATGCAATATCTGCTGATGCCAGACTAACATGAATGATAGAAATTTAAATTGCATTCAAATACGTTCTCCAAAATTACACATACACGCACACACACACACACACACACACACACACACACACACACACACACACACACACACACACACACACACACCACACACACACACACACACACATATATATATATATATATATATATATATATATATATATATATATATATATATATATATATATATATATATATATAATTTTCTATAATTATAAAAATGCTTTGAACAGCATTTAAATGCTTGAATTTACTCTCTGTAATAGTGAAAAAATATGAACGCAAGCACACAAGGACAGAACGTACATATGCTCACGGAAAGAGCATAAGTATGCACACGGGAGTGTACGTGTGCATACGTACCGAATGACATCCGTGTTAATCAACGGGAAATAAAATACGTGTCGAAGGAAAGATGGAAACATAAATCCCATTTTTTTGTCCGCACCGTAAAATTGGCCGAGAATAGTCATGGCGGTGAGAAAAATATTGGAAGATGGAGGTGGGAGGAGAGAGACAATACTGACGAAGGTCAGAATGAAAGTTCGTGATCAACAGGTGGAGAACATAGTCCTGAGAAACAGACGTGAGGAGGAGAGGAGAGGTTCTCCTGTGACGAGGACACCAGTGTTGGTGGTGTGTTGGTGGTGTGTTGGTGGTAGTATGCTTCTTAAGTGTAATAATGCGTTGTGTGTGTTGGCTAAGGGGAAAAGCGTGTGTGTGTGTGTGTGTGTGTGTGTACTCACCTATTTGTACTCACCTATTTGTGGTTGCAGGGGTCGAGTCACAGCTCCTGGCCCCGCCTCTTCGCTGATTGCTACTAGGTCCTCTCTCTCCCTGCCCCATGAGCTCTATCATACCTCGCCTTAAAACTATGTATGGTTCCCGCCTCCACTACGTCACTTTCTAGGCTATTCCATGGCCTGACTACTCTATGACTGAAGAAATACTTCCTAACATCCCTTTGATTCATCTGAGTCTTCAACTTCCACCTCGTCTATTCCGCGCAGTATTTTATATGTCGTTATCATGTCTCCCCTGACCCTCCTGGCCTCCAGTGTCGTCAGGCCGATTTCCCTCAACCTTTCTTCATAGGACAATCCCCGTAGCTCTGGGACTAGTCTTGTTGCAACCTTTGCACTTTCTCTAATTTCTTAG